TGGTGTAGCATTACGAATTCCCTTAAACATTGAAATCGATGCCACTGAAATGCTCAAGAAACCTCGAAATAATAAAATATTTACTCTTTTTTGAGCTCATACTTCTCATTCCAACTTCAGACGGATCAGGATAAATTGTTTATGCACCTTCGTTTAGGGGTTTAGGGGTAACATTTTACAAAACAGGACATGTCATTTGTCGGACTATTGGATAACTAACATTTTAATCCCTCGGTTCACTCAAAAATATTGTAAGCTGTACGCACAACCCTCACATACCAAAGCACTTTTTTTAAAGCATTTCTTTCGGTTGCAACAGATAACTCAAAATTGCATTTTTTATAGTCAAAAACAATGCTGCACTTTTAGTTGATTTCGTTACTAACAAAAAATATTCCATTAGCCGTTAACAATACGCCAAGAAAAAAATGGCCAAACTTAAAATTCATTTCCGTGCTTGCCATTAATCAAATGTGTAAATAAAACAAAAACAAAAACCCCTCACTCGGCTAGAGTGCTAATGATTAACGAATTTAGGAAGCGGCGAGTGGTAGAAGCGTCACGTTTTTTACACAATATTTTATTAGCATTCAAATTACATGTTCTATATGCTCTAAAAGCAAGACACTGGCGCAGTTGATCCGTACATTTCCAAAATTGCGACAAAAACTTAACCGTAGCTCAGTTCAAGTGCAAACGTAACACATTGGGGCTTATCCGGATAATTTAAATTTCAATATAAGGGACACCGCAACACTACATATTTCAAAGGTGTAAAAAATGGACAGGGGAGTAGAAGAACAAGTGGGTGAATGTGGGTAAATGAAGCATTTAAATTCATCTAATGTGTATATACGCGTCATTAATTCGTATCGGTTTCTTTGTCCGTTTGTAGGGGTTGTTAGTGGTTTGTATTGAGCCGAGTTAATCTAAAAATGAAAGCAAACATTAATTAAAGCGTGTTTTTGTCACGAGCGTCGACTTTAGCACTCGCATCTTTTCATGACTTTCAATTCTGAGAATGAGATCAGAAGTAGAAAGTCGATCACCACCTTTCATTCAATTTCTACTTAAAGCCGGTTCATTGTCAGCTCGAAGTCACGCACTTTAATGTGCGAAAAGGATCTCGGAGACTTCTAATATAAACAATTCCTTTCGGATCTATGCTTGTACATTCTGAAAAGAAATACATATAATTTGCGCACTTGAAGCTCTCCATTTAAAGGCATCTGAAAAGGATTTTAGCTTAGTAAAGCACCCACCATTCAGCGAATTTATATACAACTCTAGCTTAGCAAGAATTTACATTTTCCATTTTGTATATACTTCATTAGTAGTTTATTTCCATCGCAATATGTAAATTTATTACGTTCTAAAGGCGCAAATGCGATTATTGCTACATAAATTAGTGCAGGAGGTTTAGAATATTTGGGAAATTGTAAATCTATTTTCAGGCAAACGTACCGAGGTGAAATTAAAGGCGAGGATCGAGAAAACAACAAGTCTCTCAGTATTGATGAGTTTCTTTGGAGCTTGCTTGTTATTAAAATAGTCTGCATGCGTCACAAAGAAGTCTAGTCCATTAACGAAGACTGTCTAGGAGTAATAAATTGGATCTGAAATTCTTCTGATCGTCTCTGACGTTAGAGCTTCTTTTAGACAAGATTCTTTAGAATCACTACTCCACTTTCGTTTTTGAAAATTTAATGACACATCTGGAGTTGTTTGGGATGAATCGACGATTAGATGGAACTAAGTACTTTATTTTTCTACAGACGATATAAAATGTCCATCGTTATGTCTTTGAAGCTAAATCTGATTTCCAAATTGCGTGATCTTTGGTTAGAACATCACAAGCTTGCACACACATAAAAAGATGTGTTTAATATAATTAGATAACGTTTCAATTAAACATATCATTGTTTCCCATATCCACAAAGAAATGATTAATTTATTTTAAATATATTAAATATTTATGTTAGTATGCTGGATTCAAGCATATTACTCTTGATTTAAGGTAATTTATTTCTTATTTAAAAGAAATGACATCGTTATGGGAAATCCCTGTATATTTAGTTGAAGTGTATTCTTGGTTGTTATAAGAATATTATATTCTTAATTCAAACATACATACTTTTAACGCAAAATCAAAAATAAATTACATTTAACAAATGTAATTTTTGTTTAAGAGAAATGAATTATTTAATTGGATACAAGTAATTGATCAATTTAAAGTAACTTTTAATTTTAATGCAAGTAAATGATCTTATTGGACTGAACGTACATCTAAAAGTAATTGTTAAATTTAAAGTCACTTTTAATTTTGATGCAAGTATATAATTTTTTTAAGCTGAACGTATACGGAATGGTATGCGGTAGAAAATAAAATACTTTATCCCCAAATTAGATGATTTATTTTACATAAAATAAACGTACATTTTTCCATGTGTATCAGTGTGGAGTGCAGACGTATCTACATTCTTTAATTCATTAAAAGTTATTAATTCAAATTTATCTAAAACTTCGACTTCATAAGCCCTAAGATGTTCGTGGAAGCTGCCGGTTTTTAAGCAATTACAGTAAAAAGAAAAGTTATTAAATTCGTCAATTAAAATATGTTTTATTAATCCAAATTGTGGAAAATCTTCATAGCTATCTATCAAAATGACTGAACTTTGTTTGTATGAAATTCCGTTAAATGTCAGCCACGGTACTAAAAAATAGTTTGAATTTACGATAAATTGGCAATCTATGTCATTGTTGGATATTTCCAACAAAGGCCCATAATCTAAATCATCTAGTAAGTTATTTTGTGCCATAATTCTATAGCAAAATTTTAGTTGCAGCCTTAAGCTTAGCGAGTAAGGTAAGTTTTTTTTACATTTTATAATATTTGAAACTGATTTTAGTTCTTTGTGCTTAGCTTCAAATCTCATACAACTCAGATGCACAAGGGGTCCCATTTTTCTAATAAGACCTGGATAATGTGTTAACATGTGAAATTTTGGTTTTAAAGTTTCAGAAAACAGACTCATGTATAAGGAGTGGTGTTCTTTAATTAACAATTCCAACAAAGCAATGCACTCGTCATTAATTTCCGGCAAAAGAAGAATTTCTGTTATTTCTAAAAGCATCAAGTATAACGACCAAATGTCATTATTAACTGGCACCAAATCACCAACAATTAGTCTAAAATGTTTAACCAAGCACAACATTTCAGATGACGAATTGATAATGCAGCCATTCTTCAAATGTTCATCTTTGATAGGGGGCGGAATGTTTTTGTCAGAAGTATCGTAAGTGAAATATCTTATTCTAGAGTTCAGTAGAGTTAAGGTAAAGAAATTTTGAGAAACTAAAGTATTTATAATTTTTGCCATAGTATATCTATGTACACCTTCAAACAAATCGTGCATTATATCACATACACTATGACTATAAACATGAAAATCGTGAACATCGTTAAAAATGCATTTTTCTTTTAGACCAAAATGAAGACCATCCACGTGATTTAAATATTCTATTTTATTTCTCAAAAAATTTTTATCTTCAACCGTTTGGGTTTGTGCCACATTTTTCTTACAATAACAAATTCTGCAATAGTAGTGTGCAGTGAAGCTTTCAACAAAACCAAAAATTGAATTCATGCCTAAATTATCACCTACAACCGCTACCAATTTAAAGAAAACCTTGTATTCTCTATCTTCAAGACTTAAGTTTATACCTTCAGTTGCTAAGTAATTTACTTCGTGTACTAATGTAGTAAATAATGCTTTATTACCATAATGGAATCTGTCTGTACTGTAAAATATCATTGTTAAAAATATGTTTTCTAACCGGCTAGAATACTGTGGAGGTGTAGTAGCAACGGAACAATATATAACTCCCAATTTATGAACACCGGCGTGACTTCCTAAAGGATTTGAGGTCTCAAAGTCATCGTAGTAGAGTATCAAAGGTAAGACTATCTTATTGTCTACATTATTGAAAAAATCTTTGTGCAAAGAACCATTGAGTATATTACAATAAGCACTACGTTTACAAATGTTGCCTTGATATGTAACAATTTCGTCAAAGACTTTGGGGAGTTCCAAAAAAAGTTTAAGTGTTTTTTTTAACGGTATGTAACAAAAACTGCGATCTTTTAAGACCAATGAAACTATATCTTTTTTCGCAGATCGAGTACCGCTGAGCCCAAGTACTTGTTCAAAAGGTTCTATTAAGTAATTACTTTGAAGAAAGTATTTAAATCTTTTGTGTTCTGTGTCTAAATGGAGAAATGGATTTTTTAATAATTTAAACATATTTGAAATTTGTGACGGTAAAGTGTTTCCATTAGCTACCTCACAACATTTTTGTAACAGGTCTAAAACACCCGATGATAAAAACGCATTTACAAATTGAATAATATTTTGAATGCAACTTTTTGTTATTGTTAGTTTGTCATAAAGCTGTGAAATGAATTTTCTTATTTCAGAATCTATTAAACTACAAAATTTTGATACAAGTGTGTCTAGACTATCAGAACTTACTGTGCGTTCATCTTCAATGTTATTAAAGTTATCTTGATGTGCAGCTTGTGCATTCTGAGGTAATACCGATGCAGTAGGTATTGTATGAGTGTCACGAACATGGGGCTTTACTGATGAAGTTGAAGGAAATTTATTAATATGTTTTGATGTTAAATGTTTAACGAATGCATCCCTTCTTGAAAATAATCGCCTACAATTTTTTTCTGGACACATAAAATTAGTCTTTTGGTGAAAGATTTCTAGATGCAATGCAAATTTTTTTGGATTAACAAAAGTACGTCGGCACTCTCCACACTTCATTTTACAATTTTATATATAAACTTTGTATTATGTAAACAAAACGTTAAATTTGAAAAAAAAATTCTGTAAGTAGTAATTGCTAAATAAAAAACAAGTTACAATATTCTTAAACTCAAGTATTTCTCTTGTAGACCTAATTAATAAATAATATGGCACCAAGTAAGTAACAATAGTATTTAAGAGATCTTGTGCTATCGACACAGAGTTAATCTTTTTTTAAAAGTTCCAGTATGTCCATAATATATGGAATGATATTATCTTGACGAGTATTTATATGATAAATGCCCTTCTGAATAATTAGGTAAATATGTTCTGCGGGGGCAGGATATTTCGCGTTTGTTACAAAAAATAATTTGAAAACATTATCAAAGGCTTGTTTCGCAGATTTTGTCTGGTACCTTAATTCGTCCACAACTATATAAAAATTGTTAAGTTGTTTTAATGAAGGCCCTTCCACTATCATGTAAGGTTGGACGGTCTGTTTTTTAATGGCCGCGGTTTCCTTGTTTTTCCTGATAATCTCATCTACGTCACCGGGAATCTGCACATTAAAGCAACATATTAAAGAACGTACTACATAAAATGAGAAATATTTACCTTAGCATGGCATATAATAGAATTGACTGCTTCTGCAGATGAAAATTTCCACAAATTCTTGCTACCCAAATTAATTTTGCCTTTAGGAGGTACTAAATACGCTAATATACTGATTTGTGCGGCAAATGTACTATCTAAAAACCAGAATTATTTGTATTTACACAACAATTCAACTAATTATACTAGTACCTTCCGTAATGCCCTCGCTGTTTAAAAGTGTAATTAGTTCCTCACAAAATTTATCTTTTATTGTAAGACTTTTATATTCAAAAATTTTTTGAAACGCGCTCTCCCAGTCCAAAATGAGCTTCAGAGTTGATTGTGGATACTCTCTTTCAAAATCCAAGTTAATCTGCAATAATCAAACAACTAAGTAAGTGTCACTACATTTAAAAGATATAATAGTATTGTAAACAATTTCATTATTTAATTTGGAAATGCCTTAGGAGGGTGGCTCAAAACAAAACATTTGGAAACTAAATGATTAAATATAAAAAAAATAAGATTTCATATTTAAAAGGGAAGGCCTTTCCAATTATATGTTGGATGCTCAATTAGGCATAATTAACATTTTTGGAGTTGTGCCTCCAGCGCCAAAGGATAGTGAGCGTGTTTTATTGTAAACGTTTTATACGTTAGAATAAAAAAATTGACGTGTCCGAGCGTTTTTCGAAAATTCACGTTAAATTACCGTTTGAAAATCTGCTTGAACTAAAAAAATTGATAAAACCTACCAAAACCTCTGAATTGTCTTTTTTTAAAATTGGCCATTCTTCAAAGAACTCTCTGACAGTCGCTGCAGTCGATAATTTCCGAAGCCCGTACGTATTCTTCCACTTTGTCAGAACTTCATCCCAGGGCTCATGCCTATTTTGCAGCCATATCATATCATTTTTTAGCTCATCTGTAAGTTATATTTTTATAAACATTTTATAAGCAATCGATATTTATTTACTAACCACTTTCTAACACTATTTGCCTTTCTTTAGTGTGACCATAACTGTCATCTTCATCCAAATAACTACTTTTCCTTTTCCTAATAATGACACTCGGTCCACAGTCATGTAAAAGGTTTCGACATTTGTCTACCAATTTACCGCGTGCCAGTATAGGTTTGCGAGTTATAGAGTCTCTCTTGCGAATGGCTGGAACATAGTAAGTACTAGCAGTTTCCTTTGGGAAAAGCGTTATTATTTTTGATGCTAGGACATTGTAATCCTCTGGTGTTAGTCGACTAAAAATTTGGTAGGTATTGGTAAAGGTACGACTTCATATGATGTAAACTCACTATTTTGCAACATAATCAAAAACGTGCTTAATAATTATTTCTGTTAATTTGTTTCTCCGTTTCATATCCAAAAATTTATTTTTATTGTAATATTCCAAAATTTCTGATCCAAATACGCTGGTACATAAAAGAGTTTTTAGATCAAATTCCGGTAGTTGAATTTTTTTAAGCATGTTTTCGAGTCCGATTTCAGCAGCCGGCCGATGTTGTTGGGGTATGATAAAGTATTGCTCGTTTCTCTCCTTTAAATAAGTATTAAAATTCAGATTCAATTAAACTTACGGCATGCATGATGCATTTTACCCTATTTTCTGAGTTTGACTCAAACTCCATGTTCGCCTGGATAAGATTTGATGTTTCGTCGTCAACCGCCTTAAATTTGTACAATTAAGAAAATCTGGAAGGTGTAGTATGTATACAGCATACCTGGACTACTTCGTGGACTACAATACTAGAATTCTCCAGTTCTTTTGCTCTTTTAAATAGAGATAAAAACTTTGCCCTGATCCCAATGCTGGGAATAAGTTCCTTTATTAAAGATTCTTCTAATAAAAAGAAGTTTGAGAGATCTATGTCGTTGTCTAAAAATTATAATAATTTTAGAAATATAGTTACCTAGTGATCTAAATTCTAATTAAAAAAATAAACACAAAATTGTAACTCGGATTGTAAGCAACATGAAATGAGAAATTAGATTACGGAATGAAAAATCTGCTATACACTCAGTTTCTCGCGGATTAACAATAATCTCTATATGTATATAGAGCATAAGTTATGAAGAAATGCTGGTAGGAAATAATTTAATAATGTATTAAATTTCATGTCGGTGACCTACAGAATCACACAAATTGTTGATTTATACCTACACCAAGTAAAACCATTAAGAAATACCATAATCGAAATTTGAAATGCTTGCCATGTATGCGTGCAAATCTCAAAATTCACCCAACTTATTTTTCCAAATAAAGCAAAAAGTAACAGGTGACCTAATCACATAATCCGATGTAATTCAATTACACCAATAATAATTATAATTAAAATAAAAGTAACAAGTACCTACCACTACTTGATTTGACTTTAGGTAGGTACATAAAAGGTAGGTACATAAGTAACTATATACTAAATACTTACTTTTAAAGGTTTCAATTAATTGAGGCAGTCCCCAATCCTCGAGTAAACTTTCAACATCAGCATACATTTTCACTTCATCCAGTAGCACTATTAAAGAAACTAAAAACTGCAAATTCACGGGATATACTGAACTGATACCGCTATACGAACATGACAAGACACTGGACAGTTATGGCGTATTCCTGTATATTCAGTGGGTTTGCAACTGCAATTTGCACGTTTAATATTCTGCTTATAAAGAAGCACGCATTAAATGAAAAATATAAGCATAAGTTCAAATAAAGAAATGCTTGTCTTAAGTATTTAATACATTTAAATGTAGCCAAATAATGAACAAAGAAAACGAGTGTTTCTTTAGTTTTAGACTCTCCCTTTCGGATTAAACATAATGTATCTTTAAAACAAATCCACTATTATTTTTCCACAAATAAAAGCTTCAAGCCGAACATAGGATTATTTTGACGTTATCATTCAAAAAGGTTCTCTTTAAATTTTTCCTACATTTCAACTAACGACATGTATGTTTACTTTTACGATATTGCTTTACATTAAAAAAATTTAACTAAAGAAATAATACTTTACTGTTAAATAAACTAGATCTCTTAAAATAAAAAATAATCTTTGAATTAAATGTTATTATGGTCAAATTAAAGAAACGAAATTAAAGCAATACAAAATTTTATATCAAGAAAAGGTTTTTTACCGTGCAAAAATAAAACTTACCCCCAGTCTGAATTATATATGGCGATAGGGGAATACTCTCTAAGGTAATTTCAGGTAAGTCCTAAAACACAAAGTATGATTTTAAATCATATATCATGTGAATTATTAATTTCTTACCTTGCATTTAAAAAAAAGGTTCTGTAAATCTTCTTTAAAATATTTCGTAATATTTGCAGTGGTCGAAGTGGTAACTATTTTTTACCGGTATGGTTTAAAGTAATAAAATGTTAGACAGTGTGTATGCATTTTTATATAAAAATACAAACAAAAAATTTGAAAAATACATTCATATCAGTATTTGATTAGAAATACTAAATACAAAATTAATTAAGGTGATCCCACAGAAGTTGATATTCAGTTGTCAAATTTGGAGCTTGGTCCTTCTGACGTGCAGCACATTTCGTATAATCAGCATCACGGCGTCCTAGTAACATCCATGCTTTAACATAAGTTTGAGGTTTAAATAGGGGAAGCGGTGGACCAACACATTTTATGAATAGCAATGAAGACACTGTAGTTACTTTTAGTTTATTTCTTAAATCCGAATGAATAATGTTCATTGCACTGAATATGCGTTCGCACTCCGCTGTTGAAACAACTAATGTATTAACAGTTTTCATCAGCAAATCTAACGGTTTAGACACAATGCCAGAATCTACATATTCGCGAAAGCTTCTTACATAGTCGTGACCAGATAGTTTAAACTTTTCACACAACACTCGAATTTCATCTTCTCCGTACCTTATGCTGGGTTCTTGGGGCCACTGGTTACGGTCAAATATTTCTAAAGTTTTTACAAATTTATTGTAATCTTCGGAAATTTGTGGTTCCGTTCCTGATCGGTGAGAAGAAAATCTTAGTAAACGTTGCTTCAGATTATTAGTCAGGCTTCTATAAAACTGTGCACTATTTATTTTAGTCACTCTTCTACCGTTGTGCAATTTGACATGACGAAATTCAAGTACATTTATAGAGGTTTCTACTTGTTTAAGGTATATTCCTGGATTATCAATCATTGATTCTACCACGCGAATCTGTCGTGTAATTAAGGCGTGAGCTTCAGGAAGGGTTTTGTTACGTTTTTGTAATTCCAGAGATAAATACGAAAGTTCTGAAAGAGCGTCATACAATAATCCTAAATTATAAACGAATCCGGTTTCAGTTAACCTATCTTTCAACCCAGAATATGTGCATCTTTCCTTACTTTGCCTTGACATGTCAATGGAAGCGTTGTCAAAATGTTGATACAGGGCGTTGTAGTTGCTCCACACAGCTTTTACTGACCTTAAACTTGAAGAAACCCAGCGTGTGTCGAGTATACGTCCTATAGAATACAGCTGAACGTCTAAATTTGCCGCACATCGTTTTAATTCGTATTGATTTTTTGGCGAAGCACTATATAAACTATACAACTTGTCGAAAAATATCTTAAAATGATTGATGCCATCAACTTCCTCCAGTACGTCATGGACTGCTAGTTCTAAACGGTGGTTAGAACAGTGCCATACTACTAAATCTGGATATTGACTAATTAACTGTGTAGCTACTCCAGATTTTTTTCCAATCATGTTTGATGCTCCATCAGAAGCAAAACAAACGAAATTTCTAGCCAAAAAATCGTTTGTAAACCCATGTTTTTCCAAGCAAAGCATCAACATGTTAAGGATGTTTGAAGAAGTGGTGGTTTCTAAATCAATTAAATCCAAAAAGAATGTTACAGGTTTCCGAATGTGGTAACGTTGTTTTGATGCATACCACTAGTACTGTATTTTTACTAACAGAAGTAGTTTCATCAATTAGAACAGATATCTTGGACTCATTTTGGATAATTTGACTGACAATTCTTTTTCGCATTTCCGTTGCAATATGGTTTGCAATGTCGGCGCATGCATGATCTGAGTGTAAAATGCGACCCATCTTTAAACCATTTAATACTTGCATATCTATATCAGAAGTTAAATCTGTAAAAGGCCTACCTTTTTTATGATGTTATAAACTGTTGTAAATACACGATTGGTACTTTCACAAATGTCTGTACTTTGGTTAGTAAGACTGGTCTTTAATCTTTCTTTGTGAGATTCTGTCAGAATTTCCTCAGCATATCTGTGGGCTTCACTGGTCTTATGATGAAAGATTTTTTTTCTGAGGGATTGACGTTGCTTTTTTGTGGAATCTCCAAACGCCGCGATGTTACAATTAACCCACTCAGTCGAAACTTGAACGCCTTGTTTTTTAGGAACATTGCCGAGATTTTTAATTTTCTTGCACGTACTACAACCTAGTTTTTTTTCTTTTGTTTCAAGCCATTTATATTCTACACATTTTCTATTGTACATTTCTATTGTCCAACACTCGGGAACATCGGGTAAATTATTAAATTTCAATTTCTTTGCCCCACTCTCACTTTCATCAGTTTCATCACCGCTATTATTGTCACGTTCAACACTATCAGATTCTGATTGGGAAGGCAAAAAATAATCCGCGTCAGCGTCTCTGTCCATGTTGTCAGTACTAGCACCAGCACCACTATCGTTATCGTTCTTTTTACGTTTCAGCCAATTAAGGAGGGACATTTTTCACATTTAAAGTGACTTAAAGTTAAAAAGCTTGAAAATAAAAAAACAATACAACAATGCAGTACAATAAATAATAACTTAAACTGAGAAGTGCAAAATCTTCTTTGCGTGTTTGTACACAATGGCAGACTGCAGACCACTGAAGTTTTTAGAACCACAAGCAATCCGTAAGTAGCTTTGGGAGTGGGTACTACGTATGCGCCTAAGAAATGCGCAGTGTCCAGAGCGTTATAACGATCGTTAGGAACACCTTTCCCTTTGCATTTCTCAAATAACAAATAGAAATACGGACAAAAAATTCTGTAAAAGGTAAAACATATTAATATTACTAAGAACAAATCCAAAATACGGATCGAATGCGGAAAAGATTGCAAAACTACAAGATTTTGAGGTCGCACGCGCCGCATACCGGTATGCCTATGTGAAAAAAATTATTACCGGTATGTTTCACAAAAATAAAAAATCTAACGGTATGCCATACCGCCCCATACCGCCTCACTTCGACCACTGGATATAAATAAGTTTCTATTGTGTATTTATCCGTAACGAATGAATCCTATTGGTATCCAGTGGACTTTCCTAATCAAATCTTAATAAGTTTCTATTGGGACAAATTTCATTGGAAATGGTTGGGAAATGAATAATTTGTATGGGAATGCTGATTGGAGCGTATTATATTGTAATGTGTAATGATTGGGTCCTATTGGCACATAACGGAATTCCCAAGTCATATTTTTATAAGTTTTGATGGGGTAATTCTCAATGGCAATATACACATATTGGTGCCAATAGGACCCAATAAAAAAATTTATTGGTTCCAATAAGGCATTTACAACAGGGTGGTTGGGTTGCTTTACAATGGCGCGTACCAAATGGTCTTCGATGCTGCTTTCCATATGCACAACCGGTGCAAAATTCTTCCTCCGAACGGATATCGACATCTCTTAGTTTTAAGAGCGTTTTAACATGTCTTTTATTTTGATGGCAAAGCCGTTCGTGCCAAAGTTGCAAGGTATCTTCTTCTGTGGTTAAAAACGCAACGGCAGATTTCTCTGGAATGATGACTTCCATGTTTAGAATATACAGGCCCTTTTCAGATTTCGTTCCGCTCAACCTTACTCGGCCATTCTTACTGAAAATGCAACCAGATTGATTTGCACTAAAAGAAAAACCTTTATCTACAGTCTGACACACAGAAAATAGGTTCTGTCCAGCCTTTGGAACGTACCATACATTTGACAAGTGGTTAACTTCCCAAATTTCACGGTCACCGTCTTAACATTTATGGCACCTTCCCCGTAAGCATGCATGTAAGTATTGTTGCCTACCTTAATGGGTTTCGGTATTTCGAACCTGGTATACTCCACAAACCAATTTCTGTTGTATGTTATATGTGCCGAAGCACCCGAATCGACAATCCAATGGCCTTCCTCGGTTTCAAATCCGCTACACATAAATGCCTTACCCTCGGTCGTTGAGCTGCCACTTTTTGAGCTCCGATTCGATTTTCTGGGGCACTTACTCGAAAAGTGTCCCACTTCATGGCACCTGAAGCACTTTAGGTCCTTCTTTTCATTCGATCGACAAATAAAGCAACAGGCTTTTTACGTAACCCTTTCACAACCTCCAACACTCCATTGTGTTTCAACAGCAGTTCCACTTGCCGCTTCCAAGAGGCCCAATTTGAGGCGTCAACCAGCTTATCCACTTGTACTTTAAAATCCATTGTCTTTTTTTTGTTGGGAACAAAAGGTACGGTTTTTTTTCTTTAAACGCGGCGCGACCACGAGGAAAAAAGAAAAAACTAACTTCTCTTTTTGTTAAAAAAAAGAAAACGAATTCTACGCAGATTAACGGCCTGGGCCCATAACCTATTGAGGCCAATAATGGTAAACTGGTACACAAAATGTATATTATACTAATACAAAGGTTACAATAAT